ATGTACAATTCCCTACACGATTAAGACTATCTGTCTGGGTCTTTGGGTGGTGCAAATGGTTACCGCTCGACTACTAGCCGAAAGGTTGGCAGTTTGAACTCACCCCAAAGAGCCTCAGAAGACAGGCCTGGTGATCTGCTTCCAGAAGTTCACAGCCTTGAAAACCCTATGGAGCAGTTCTACTCTGCACACATGCATTCGCCATGAGTCAGAAATCAACTTGATGGCAACTAATAACAACTACAATTTCAGACTCATGTTCTACTCCTAGCACTTCCAGACTACTTATTAGTTGTACAATAGTCTAGAATAATATAATACTAACCTCAATGAATCCATTTCCTTATCATTAAAAGAGAGATAATAGTGGGTAACCATGTGTCGAGGATTAAAAAAACTATACATCTAAAAGCATAAGAGTTTGGCCTTTATCATGAATGTTCCAGGAACTCATTAAAGAATTTAAACAGAAAAATGGCACAATTAGATTAGCATTTCAGATAGACTAAGGACAACAGTGGGAGTGGACTGGAGAAGAAAAAAACAAGTGGGGAAGAACAGTTAACTGGAAGAAATACAGGAGCAGAAAGGAACGTGTAATTGCAGTGGGAATAGAGAGAAAGGAAAGGAACTAGAGACAATTAAGAAACAGAATCAAGGAACTTCGTCCCTAATTGGAAGTGGAAGGTGAAGAAAAAGGATGGATCAGAAGACAAGTTTCAAAAAAAGGCCCTGACATCTTCAGGAACAAAAGCTGATCCTAACAAGTTGTTACATTTTTTTCTGATCTCATTTGAAGCAATATTTCACGGTTTGAAAATGGACTTACTTTCTAGAAACAGGCAAAAGCAGGCTGGAATCAAGGTTTGTGAATAAAGTAAGAAATTGAGCTGTGACATATCATTTGATGTTAAAAGAGAGTAGGGATGATTATGAAATGTTGCTCTTCTAATTATGTGCTAAAGGCACGATTCCAAAGGAATAAAAAAATGTTCTGATCATTTGACAGACTAGAATGTACAGTCATGAAGTAGGCAGGAATCATGTGCATGTAACAAGCCTTTGCTTTAAAATATATATATATGTATATATGTATACATGGCGTTTTTATAATCAAACTTAGTAGATCATCACAAACAGGAAACACAAGGTTTCATGAAAAGAATCCCAAAACAGCATTTAGAGGCTTAGGATCTATATCCCCTACTGATATCTCAAGCAAAATTACTTATTTAGGACTGTTATCCTCTGTGTGGAGTCCCTGGGTGGTGCAAATGGTTAATATGCTCAGCTACTAACCAGAAGGTTGGAAGTTCGAGTTCACCCAGAAGTATCTTGGAGAAAGACCTGGCAATCTACTTCCGAAAAATCAGCCATTGAAAACCCTACGTAGCAGCACACAGTTCTACTCTGACACACATGGGGTCACCATAAGTTAGATTTGACTCAAAAGCATCTAATCTGGTCCCCTGTGTGTAGGACTGAGGCAACAATACCCTCCCTATCTACATCAAAGAATTAGCTCACATTATATCTGTGTATGGTGCTAGGAAAAACTAAAAGTCCCATGAGAGACAGGTTTAGACAGAAATTTCAAATGCAGATAGAAATCTGATTCATTACTCATTATGACTACTTAACTGTGACTATATGCTATGCTATATGGGTTGACAATTTTAAATGGTAGAATCACATTTTACATTTAAGCAGAAACACATTTAGGCATAACATTAGAGAAAGAAAAATGTTATCCCGAAACAGATACTGAACCACTGACCCTTCTTATGGTTTCAAGGGTTGAGATGAGAATACCCAAAAGATGGGTAGGACTAAGAAATGCATCATTTCAGTCTGTAGCAAACTCCCAGAAGACAGAAGTTGAGGTTCACATACTTAAGGTATTCCTAACATAGTCCAATACCAACTGACCATTACATGTGGTTCTTAGTGCTTCCTAAGAGATACTGTTGATTAGACTTTTCCTCAACCACTTAATGAGGTATTTAAGGGAGCCAACAAGTTCAGCAGTCTCTAGGTCGGCTGTCCCTTACATCCCAAGTAGTAAGCACAGATGCTATGGATGTGACTGGTACACACAGCGGGGACCAAGAGCTGAAGTACAAAACCTCTCTGGACCTCCGAGACATTGTACCAGTAATCCAGGGCAGCTTTCAAGATCTACGTGTCCTTCCTCTATCCTCCTGAAGATAAGACAGATGGATGAAATCAATACTAATCACAAGAACCTGATGTTTCTTTCCTGCCAAATGCCCACTCTGTTAATCACGCTAAGGGAAGCTAACCAAGCCTCTAGACTGAATTCTAAGGTGTTATGCTTAAGAATTAATTAGGACCTAGAGCTTCTCTGGTTACTTCAGAGGTAACCACTCTCTTCACAACTACCTCTGGATGGGCCACTAAGCCACACTGGTCCCCAGAACCTCTGCTCTCAACTTATTTTCAGGACAGCAAAGCAGGCTCCAATAAGGTTTACTAATAGAGTATATCCCCAACCTCTAGTACACTCTTCTACCTCTCCACAGTATTTCTTATGGGAAGTGTTACAGCCTTGGATCTGAACCTCAGCTCTGCCACCTACTGAGTTATCTCGGCCAGAACCTCACTCCTCTAAGCCTTGTTTTTCCTCATATCTAACAGGGTGGACCACCATCTGACTTTGGCAGGCTGTAGATCAGTCAAATGAGATGAACAAATACAAGGGAGTGTCTGTGAAGCAGGTAGTACACAGTCTATCTCATGACAGTCTTACGCCTGGTTGGTGCTCAGCTGGGATCCAGAAACTCCATGGGGTATCCTTTCCTTTAGCAGCTAAGGCTTAGCTGGACAGGCCAGGATTCCTACAGCCACACCCTTCTCTGGAGAATGTTTATACTTACAACATCTGGTTCTGTAATCAGATCAGTTTAGGAGTAGGCACAGAAAAAGGGCAGATAGTGAATTAGTATTTGATCAATGACCAAGAGGTGGTAGTATAGCAGATAAACCCGGCACTGGAGCTTCACAGTTCTCTCCATCAGTGTCCATGCTTCCATGACTTCTTCACCTCCATTGTCCTCTCATCCATAAACTTGCCAGGCCTGACCACCACAGGTCTAATACCCACAAACTTCCTCGATATTCCTTTCTCGGGGAGCAGTGAGTGACCACAGCCCAAGATGACATCTAATGCTCACCTGGCAGCCATGAGCCCCAGCACAAGGAGCAGAAAAGCCTGACTGGCAGCAACACACGGGGCCACGGGCAGAATGGGCTCTTAAAAGTCGTGTCTCTCTACCATGACTCAGGTGAAAGAACACTGCCCTCCTCTTTCTTTCCCATTAAGAAAACTGGGACAGGTCAGGGCAACCAACAAAGACACAAACTTGGAAAGACTCTGCATCACACCTGCCCAGACACAAAGCAGAGCTGACGCTTCGTAGACATATCCGTTGTTTCAAAATGAATAAGCAGAGAGACACTGCAACCATGAGAAGAGGGGTAAAAATGAAAAGAAGCCATAAACACTTCTGGAAGGAGAAAATTTTTCCCAATGTGAAATGCACAGATAATTTAATGGAATTTACTTGATTTTCCCCTCTTAGGGTCTGACTTCAGAAAATCAAATTACAAAGTCATCATCACATCCTAGATTTATTACAACTGACCTGCAGGCAAAAGGATAGAACTATTACATAAACACTTCGATTCCATGTATATATCTTAAATAGAGGAGGAATTCAAACAAGAATACAGGATAAAATATTCCAAAGCTCCAAGAAGCAGTTATGTTACTGAGCTCCATTTTTACAGACAAATAAGGCAATATCCCTGCACATTAGCTTTTGATAATTTTTATACATTTTTCTATGGTACAAGAGAAAAATAACCAGAGCTCACAATGTACAGTTCTTACACTATTTTCACAGTTTGTGAACACTATACACCATTTTGTTTTAATAAAGATACATTGTAATAAACTCCTTGCCCTTAAGTTTATACTTTATAATAATCTATGATTAATACACTAAAATTGCCTTTTTATGTGGTCATCCACACAACAGAATGGTCAGATTAGCTCCTGGACAGTCAGAATTGCTTTTATCTCCATTTGCATAATGGCAAAGTGACCCTATGCTGAGCCAGACAGGAAGCTGACAGCAGAGAAACAAATTCCTCTTGAGTCCCGGGAGCAATGGAGGACGATGGCTTGGTGTGGTTGAAGGAGGACATACAGCAACGCCTCCTTTCAGAACACTGGGAAGTCTAAGGTTTAGGATGCTAAGGGGACAGGGGAAAGATAGGAAAATTAGGCAAGTGGACTGAAGAGATCAATCACTTTTGAATTCTGAAATTTACATGGATGTAACTTTAAACAGCACCATTCTCTCTTTATTGTTTAATAGTATTTATGACTGTCACTCTGGGAGGAGACACAGCTATACAGGCCAGTTTGGTTCTGTAACGACATCACCTGCATCTCAGACCATGGCTGCTTTTTCTATTCCAGTGTGCTTGAACCACTCACAGTGCTGCTAAACCGTTATGGGAAAGCCTAATGTTCAGTGTCTGGGAGGCCAGAGCAGAAACCTAAGCAGAACCTGGCAGGTCAAGAAGCACAGCAAAAGATGACAATCTTTTTGGGGCCTCTCTTTTTATATCTAATAAGAATCCCAATTCCAAGACATGAAGGTGATCTGCTAAAGACTGTAGCAGGTGATGAGCTTATCGACAAGACTGCCATTTCAGAGGCTCATCTGGTTAAGCGTTATCTCTAGAAAAGATGCCACTTCATTACCCACCATGTCCGC